TACCCCTTTGCCCCCACCCCCTCCCCCCAAGCGACCCATCAAAAAAAATTCCTGAAAAAAAATATTTTTGAAAATAAAATCCTGGTCAGATCTCAAGATCGGATTTTGGAATGGTCAACGGGGTCTAGTCCTAATTTGGGTGTTGGGCTGTGGTCCTAGATATTGGGGTTGATTTTCATATCAGAAATTATTTCCTTAAAGAAAATCTTTTTAGTCTTAAGCCAAAAACTAAATATATTTTCTGAAAAATATTTTCATTCACCAACCAAACATTAAAAAATATTTTCCACTCACCAACTAAACATGAGAAAATAAGTAGGAAATCCAGTTGTTTTCCAATAAAACATTTTTTAGAAAAACATTTTCCATCGAAAACATTTTCCTTCATACCAAACACACCCTAAATCCACCACACACGAGTTATATCTTTATGAAACGCATCAAAATACTGCCACATTATCAAATAAACAATTACAACACCATTATGGATGTTTAGACACGTAATTCATAATAACCGAAAACAGATCAAAAATCGAGTCAAAAATAGAAGGTGTGACCCGCTGGGAATTTCAAAATTAACTCTGTCAAAACGTATCAATCGACATACAAGTCTTGTGTCCCAAAATGGGGCACAATTCGATGCCCGGAATAGCCCAAACGAAGACATGCAAAAGTTCTCAAATTAAAGAGACAAGGCAGCCCTTTCCGGGCCAAAATTACCCCAATATGCCTACTTTCATGCTTCCCTGATCAATCCCGCACGGAGCCACGCCTATTCCAGATAAAACACAACTTGAATCACCAAAGATGAAGCTTCCTAGATCGAAATATCAAAGTTTGAAATTTGGATGAATGCTAGCAAATGGATTGAAAAAAGAATATAAACCTTCAGTGATGACTACAAAAGCAACGCCTAGGTAGTGAAAGCGGTGTCTAGGTCACGAAAGAGGCCAAGCCCCAAGAGTATCCTTCCGCGAAAGCGACGCCTAGGCCATGAAAGTCGATACCATGAAAGCGGCCAAGCCCCAAGAGGCTCCTACAACAAAAGTAATGCTTAGGACACGAAAGCGGTGCCTAGGCCGCGAAAGTAGCAAAGCCCCAAGAGGCTCCTACCGCGAAAGAGACTCCTAGGCCGCAAAAGTGGCTACTGCAAAAGCAATTGAGAGGCCGCTAAAGCGGTCGCACCAGCACTGCTGCATAGCAATTCGGAGCAAAATGCTCCAAACTTCGAATGGACACTCAGAATTCATTTGAACCATGTGAACGCAAACAAACTATGCCACCCTACCAAATTTGACATTCTGGAATCAACAGAACCATCAAAGCTTCCTTTCGAGATTGTCTTAATGAAAAGTGGGTCCCACACCCAACCTCCATTTTTATCCAAAATCCACAAAGGGGTTTGAAATGAGACTAGAAGCCTCAAAAACCACACAAAAGATCATTCTAGAACAAACTTGACATTCTGGAGCCAAGCACGCTGACGAAATTCTCATCCCGGTAGGGGTATACCCGCTCTTTGATAAGGAGTGTCAAGAAATACCCCTACGTTAGAAAATTATATTGTACATAGAGGTCAAATTTTGGTTAAATTAATATATATGCAAGTGTTGACACCTCTTGACACAAGTTAAAAGTTTAGTATAGTTGTTAAGTTGTTGTGAAAATTCATTGAGGTCGTGTGTTCTAACCCTACTAGCCTCATAATTATATTTTGTACTACAACCATTGATACCCCTTAATGATAGTCCTAGATCCGCTAAAAGTCTCGGGGCCCAAACCAACCATGCCCCTAGCTTAAAATGTCCCTTCTGGAGCAGTTAGAATTGCATTTTGAGGCCGTCTTCTTAAAATTTTGATTGAAGTTACAAGTTTCAAATGCTCTGAAATACGAAAACTTGCAAAAAAACTCTGTGACCGAACTGTCAGTTCTAGCAAGTCATAAATTAATTGGGATCGCTACAAGAAAGCTCTAAAGCTAAAAATATCGAAAAATGAAAGAAATGACTTGGAGGGTCATGAGATGGTGCGTCTCTCTTAGCCACAATTTTAGTCTGGGCATACTTCTATTATTAGGGTTTGAGTCCTCACAATTTACACTGTGGTTCTAATGGGTTCTTCCAAGTGCCTTCTCCGCAGTTTGTGACTTAACCCACTATTTTTGGTTCATCATGATTCGAGTTTTCTGATCGTGACACAACCCAATACTCTATTTTGAGTTTTCTACATATGTAATGTGCTAAGTTTAATATAATTAAAACGTTTCTTGAGAAATCAAAGTCATTTTTACTATAGGAGTATATGTAAGTTGAATCACCCAACCTATGATTACCAATTTACCGCCCCATAAATATTAAAATCAAATATAAAAAACATTGAATCATACCAAATTAGTTTGATATGATAACGATATAGTACTTTTTAAAATACCGAAGTTACCAAAACTGAAAATTTAAATACCATATTATGCCCACCCCTAATTGGGGCTGGCAAAGTACAAAGAGGTGAAGGCCAAAGGATTTTAAAGCATCGCAATATAGGTGACAAGAGTGCGGACAAAATCCACACCAAAACGCTGAAAAGAAAAATACTATTCCATAGGAGCAAAAACTAAAAAGAAACATCCATCAGTTGCAAGTAATTCATAAGCTAAAAGGGAGCACGAAAAACAAAAGAACTAGTTCACACTGTAAATCAATATTATTATCAATGCCAGAATCTCCTTGCTAAGAGAACATCTCTGCAGGTATAGTTTGCACATCTAGTGCCACTCCGTCTTCAATCTCACCCCACCCAATGAGACGCCAGTGGCCACCAACTCGACGGCTGAGCACCACCTTCTCGGCTAGGGAGTGCATACGGGTGCAGTTAGTTGCAACGTTGCACTATTCTTTCTAACTGTAATGATTTGAGCCCCAATTGTCATGGACAAGATATTCAGCATTAGAACCTCACCCTTCAACAGATTTGACACCTGCTTTCCAAAGTCATTTTTCTCAACCCCTACAAGCCGGCGCAGCAGTTTAATTTTCCTGATCTGCAGATAACACACATGATGTGAAATAAGTTGCAAGTGGAAAAGAATACTACATATTCTAATGATCTGGAAAAAAATCAAATGGTAAAGTGTATCAGGGGTAGTTATAAATGACATGATTTAGTATAAGCAATAAAAGAAATTACAAACAACAGATAAAAAGGCTAAAGAATGCATACTAACTTTAAGTTTGATGTACACTTCAGGGAGTGTACCGACATCGCCAAGGACTTGACCAACTAGCATATCACTACGTGATAGGGCAGGATCCATTGACGTGCCAACCCCAATAAGGCCTCCTGGCACAGCAAACTGAAGCTTATTTTGCTCCGAAAATAATGACATAATTCTGGAATATATTGGTTTACAGATGGTTTTTCCATCTGCATTTTTTTCAATGATTCCTGGACGAAGCTCAACAATCTGATTTACCTTTAGAACACCCTAAGCACCAGAGACCAGTGATAAATGTTTAGACATAATAAATAATTAAGAGGTTAAGGTCAGATTTAGTCATATTTTGTTACCCACAGTTTCCAAAATTGATCAATGGAAATTATCACAATTTGCATCAAACCACACAATAGGAATATACCTTAGTGATAGTTCCACCTACAACACCACCTTTCATGTCATTAATCCCACAACCAGGCTTATTCACATCGAAAGATCGAACCACAACCATATGAGGAGGTGATACAAAGTCTCTCTTAGGGATAGGAATCTTTGTAATATATTCACAAACAGCATCAATGTTGTAATTAAGCTGTGAGGAAACAGGTACAACTGGCGCATCTTGTGCTACTGTTCCCTGATTGCCATAAGATGCAATTTCATTTTTAGCAAACTGTTTAAATACAAGGTTTGCAAACTCTTGGGAAAGACTAACCTTCAGAAATTCCCGGATTGCCTTATACTGTTTTCTAGCTTGATGCTCCTGTATAGTGTCAACTTTGTTCTGAAGAACTATTAGGTTTTGAAGCTTCAAGATGTCAACAGCAGACAAATGCTCTATAGTTTGGGGTTGAGGACAACTTTCATTGGCAGCTATGAGAAGAAAAGCTGCATCCATAACTGTTGCTCCGCTCAGCATTCTAGTCATCAGTATCTCATGCCCCTACCCAAAGCCATAATAAGGCAGTCAAAGCTAAATATTGTTGCAGTAATGCAAATCACACTTACAGAATAATGGGAGAGGCGGTAAAATGTACAGATGCTTTGTCAGGATATCCAAGTAGTGGCACATAAAAAATTGACTCAACCTATCATCCCACATGCTAATTCCTAGAGAGACTAAAATGCATTAACAAGTTGAGCATCAAAAAAAGAAAACTTCAAGGCAAGGATCATTAAAATGTGTTGTCACGGTGGGAACTCAAAACATTAACAGCCTGAGAAAGATTTAAAGACAACAATATTTTTTTCAGTAAAATATTGAGCACAGTTGATCCACACAGATGTTTCCAATGACAACAATGCAATTCAATTTTTCGAAAGAGAAAAGAGGAAGATAAACAGAAACAGCTGTTGAATTTCATTTGTTTTATGGAAATAAAATCTTGTTAAGGTATTTAACTGAAGTACAAGATGGGAAAACGCAAATCAACAAAGACATTAACAAATCATCAACAAACATGCAATCTAAAAGCACCAACTCTTGGTAGCTCCTATTGTCTTAGACCACAACAAATTCAATAAGTAGCTTAATGCAAATCTCTGTAGACTCTTTTTGCTCTTCCCAAAAGCCAAAAGCTAATTACCAATTTTCTGAAAGTTATTTTCATATTGGTTGCTAATTCACAAGCAAGCCCCACAATTTTATAAGACTGTTCTAGAAAATTACAAATGCAAAGAACAAATTCTAGTGCTTTAGCACAAAGTGCAAAATTGTTGATTTATTTGAAGGTTGAACAAACGAAGTAACCATACCGGGCAATCTACAAAAGAAATGTGTCTAAGCAGTTTCATCTTGCAGTTTCTGAATCCAGGAACATCGCATGGAGGATTATCTTCTTTACCACTTCCATATGACCTACAAGATTAGGTAAAGCATAATGATATATACTTCAAGAAAACAGAGGAACAAACAATTAACCATCAGCACACGTACATGTAGCATAAAGGTTGCGGACAACTTTCATCCTCACATTTGTAAATTTTTGCATTTGCATACCCAAGTTTCACAGTTATGTTACGCTCCAGTTCACATTTGAATCGAGTCGTCTGAAAATTAGATGACATAAAACAAACAAAGAGTTCCATATAGAAGAAGATTATACCAAACCAAAAGTGTTGAAAGGTCTATAAACATAAGAGTAAGGTATGGCTACCTGGATACCAGAGATTGCTCTGACAAGGGTTGTTTTTCCATGTGCTACATGGCCAATGAGGCCTAACAAATTGAAATTTAAAGTATTTTAGTCTACTGATGATTAACAAAGAATGGGTTACAAAATCTTCAAAGAAATTACCAATGTTGATTGTAGGCTGCCTGGATATAACTTCGGGAGAAAGCGGATGTAACTTAGTTACATCAAGCTTCCTTATATCCTGCTGCTCCATTATCTCTTTCTGAGCCATTCAGAATCCTGTATGCAACAACCCAGATTAGTATCTTTATGATTCCCCTTCACTTCAACCAAAGATAGTGAGCTACTCCAGAAAAAGGAATGAATAATAAAACTAAATGTGTATCAGATAGAACCACTGGGTATGGGTATGTTGTTGTTATAGCAGATTGAAATTGAAGAATTTTTCATCAAAAAAGAAAACATTGCTTGGCAAGAAAAGTTGAGATTCAAGAACTGAATTCAAACCAAAATTATAAATGTATATACACTATATCAAATGATTGACTCTTGACATGTAATTAACCCTCTCAATATATGAAACATGAAACTGAAAATTCTTGACATTATATAGAAACAAAACACTAAAAAAAGAAAGACAAGATTTCACCTTGGAATAGAGAAACTTATTTCAAAAGGTCTTTCAAGATCTGTTTTTCTGATGGGAGTTTCTGAATTTGGTACTAATACTAATAGTGCTGCTATGATGATAATGAAGAAGATGGCCATGGTGCTAAGTTTGAAAGTAGAGAAAAAACTTTCTTAGGCTAAAACTGTCATGGTGAGTTAGGGTTATTCATTCATAAAAATGGCGAATGTGGAAGATGGCAGTTTAAGCGTGACAAGGTGTCTATATATATATATATATACCAATAAGAACTAAACCTTCTCATGTTGACATGTTCTTGGGCTCCAAGTTATAATTTCAACCCTCCTATTCTTCTTTTAAGAAAATTTTCAAAAGTAAGTAGGCCCCGTTTGGGGACAAATATATTTGGAAAAAAATTGGAAACTAGTGTTGGACCATATAATTTGTCAATGAGAATTTTTAAATAATATAAAAATTACCCCCAAACTTTTATATTTATAAAAACACTCATCATTTATAGTTTTGGACTAAATTTCATTTTGAATTTGTTGTACAAAATTTATACAATTATATACATATTTTAAACAATTTTAATATGAGCTTGCTCTCCGTAGTCACTTTCAATTATAAGTAGTAATATTTCATCTGTCCCAATTTATATGACTTACTTTTCTTTTTAGTCAGTTCCAAAAAGAATGACACATTTCTATATTAAGTGACAATTGAACTTTAAAATGTCCATTTTACCTTAGATTAAATAATTTATAGCCACACAAATTTCTATCATTCATTTTAGACCACAAGTACTAAAAGTCTTCCTTTCTTTCTTATACTATGTGTCGAGTCAAACTACCTCACATAAAATAAGACGGAGGGAGAAGTCGTTTTCCATATATAAATTAATGATATTTTCCTTTTGTTTGCTTCCTCTTTTTTCAAATCATATTAATTATGTTCATTGTCATGACTTTTCACGGAAGATTTTCATTATAAAATGATAATACAAAATTATGATTATTTTTTAATAATTTTAGAACTTATGAGTGTAAATCGTATTTCTAAAAAAGTCAAATATTTCTCTCAAAATCTTTGGCTAAATACATGGTGAAACTTCTCCCAAAAATGACTAGCCAAAAATATTTGAAAATTTATGGTCAAACACTAGTTAAGACTAGAAATATGATTAGGCAAATAACTATAGTTTATTTAATTATGATTCGTAGTTACATGTTAGAAGGGGAGAGAGGCGCACAAGAAAGAGGGCAGATAAAAATAAGATTTACATGTTCAAAATATATTCTCTCTTTGCCCTCTCTCTAGCTCGCCTCTCTCCCCTTCTAACATGTAATAACGAATCATAATTAAATAAACTATAGTTATTTGCCTGATCATATTTCTAGTCTTAACTAGCGTTTGGCCATAAATTTTCAAATATTTTTGGCAAGTCATTTTTGGGAGAAGTTTCACCATGTGTTTAGCCAAAGATTTTGAGAAAATATTTGACTTTTTTTAGAAATATGATTTACACTCATAAGTTCTAAAATTATTAAAAAATAATCATAATTTGTATTATCATTTTATAATGAAAATTTTTGTGAAAATCCATGACAATGAACATAATTAATATGAATTTGAAAAAAGAGGAAGAAAACAAAAGGAAAATATCATTAATTTAAATATGGAAAACTACTACTCCATCCGTCCCATTTTATGTGATGTAGTTTGACTCGACACATAATATAAGAAAGAAAGGAAGACTTTTAGAACTTGTGGTCTAAAATGAATGATAGAAATTTGTGTGGCTATAAATCATTTAATTCAAGGTAAAATGGACATTTTAAAGTTAAATTGTCACTTAATATAGAAATGAGTCATTCTTTTTTAAACTGACTAGAATGGAAAATAAGTCATATAAATTGGAACAAATGAAGTATTACTACATGTAATTGAAAGTGATTTCGGAGAGCAAGCTCGGATTAAAATTGTGTAATATTTGTATATAACAGTATAAATTTTGTACAACAAATTTGAAATGAAATTTAGTCCAAAACTATAAATTATGAATGCTTTTATAAAATATAAAAGTTTTGGGGTAATTTTTATATTTTTCAAAAATTCTCATTGACAAATTATATGATCCAACACTAGTTTCCAAATTTTTTCCAAATATATTTGTCCCCAAGCAGAGCCTACTTACTTTTGAAGTTTTTTTTAAAAGAAGAATCGGAGGGTTGAAATTATAACTTGGAGCCCAAGAACAGGTCAGCATGAGTAGGTTTAGTTCCTATTGGTATATATATAGACACCTTGTTAGTACGCTTAAATTGCCATCTTCCACATTCGTCATTTTTATGAAATAATAATTCTAATTCACGAAAAAATTTATCATGGTAAAGCCACAACCAACAAAAGGTGTGTGAGGCTCCATTTACTTTTTGACACATGGATAAGTGGGCTATTTATGTACTTTAAACCTAAACTAAAATAACAAAAAGGTAATATTTATAATTAATATATATCTTATCAGGTATAATACAATTCACTGAATAATTATAAAAATATAATAAAAAATGACTGTGGGGTCTACAATTTATACTTGTTGAATGCTCATTTAATCAAATAACTTTTTTGAATTTTCTTTGTAACGTTGTTTCTTAAATCAAATCATGGTCTTGTTAATTTTATTAAAAATCAAAATTACATATTCTGATGTTCAAACTGAATTTGTATTTTTTTAAATATAAAATTAACATTTTCGCTGATGTTTAAAAAAAACTGACATCCTCATTGATGTTAAAAAGAAATAAAAAAACTTAATTTTTCAGATCTTGATTCTCTTTTTATATAGCCATCTTTAATTAAAATAACTTATTATTTCACAAATGTAACAATATAATACAATATGTTTTTTTTTTAAAAAGTACTCGAGAGAATGTTTTAAATACTATTTTATTAAAAAAATGAATGATCAAAATGTAATGATGAGAAAAATAAAATATAAGCTATATTAAATCGTATATTCTACATCAACTAAAATTTTATACAAATTGAACTGAAAAAATGTTATTAGGATAATGATACTTTTTCAAAACTATTTCTTTGAGTAGTGATACTTTGTTTTAAACAATCAACTCCACAATAATAATATATTTAATTAACTTCTTTTTTTTACTTTCCTTCAAAAGTTTAATTTAAAAATAAGGTAACAATCAACATTTCAGATCGTAACAATTAAAATAAAATGACTACATTTTAAAATCACAATAATTATGAAAGATTTTTTTTTAAAAAAATAAACACAACATTAATACACAAAAAAATATCATATCAAAATAAATTTGTCAAACTAACATTCAACTACAACAACAATAATATATCCGATATAATCCGCAAATGAATATACTATTAATAATGATAAAAAAAAAGTAGCAAACACATATGATTTTTCTTGCATTTTTTATATTTGTTCTACTCAATTTATGTGTAAATATATTTTCTCTCTCTTGTTAGTTGTAGCAAGTTCTTTCTTTAAAGTACATAAATGACCCACTTATCCATGTGTCAAAAAGTAAATGGAGCCTCACACACCTTTTGCTGGTTATGCCTCTACCATGATAAAAATTTTCGGAAGATGGCAATTTAAGCGTAACAAGGTGTCTATATATACGCTCAATACTGTTATATACATATTTTACACAATTTTAATCCGAGCTTGCTCTCCGAAGCCACTTTCACTTACAAGTAGTAATGCTCCCTCTGTCCCAATATATATGACTTACTTTCCTTTCTAGTCAGCTCCAAAAAGAATGACACATTATTAAGTGACAATTGAACTTTAAAATGTCCATTTTACCTTGAATTAAATGATTTATAGCCACACAAATTTCTATCATTCATTTTAGACCATAAGTTCTAAAAGTCTTTCTTTCTTTCTTATACTTTGTGCCGAGTCAAACTACTTCACATAAAATGGGACGGAGGGAGTAGTAGTTTTCCGTATATAAATTAATGATATTTTCCTTTTGTTTTCTTCCTCTTTTTTAAAATTCATTTTAATTATGTTCATTGTCATGACTTTTCACGGAAGATTTTCATTATAAAATGATAATACAAAATTATGATTATTTTTTAATAATTTTAGAACTTATGAGTGTAAATCATATTTCTAAAAAAAGTCAAATATTTCTTTCAAAATCTTTGGCTAAACACATGGTGAAACTTCTCCAAAAATGACTTGCCAAAAATATTTAAAAATTTATGGCCAAACGCTAGTTAAGACTAGAAATATGATCAGACAAATAACTATAGTTTATTTAATTATGATTCGTAGTTACATGTTAGATGGGGAGAGAGGGCAGAGAGAGAATATAGATGAATTGTATTTATACATCTGTTGGATAATTGTATATATGTAACTAGTATGTATATGTATCAATGATTATATTTGTATACTTGTTGGATAATTGTCTACATATAATTAATGTCACGCCCCGAGAGCACCCCCTAGACGTGACCGGCGTACTCGACCCCGAAGGGGTCTTATACAAGCCTCATAGCATTCATTCATCGCATAGGTGATAAAAATAGTGCGGAATTAAAAACTTTTCTTACAATCGAAGTCTCTTGCAAAATGAAAGAGTATCTATGACACTATTTCTCAAACCATCTATTATACTTGGAATAAAACTCTTGAAATACAAATCTTAGGGACACGGCCCTTACAACAAAAGTCTACAACATAATAGAAAGACAATAAAGGACATAAGGTTGAGCCCTCGAATACAATGAGGACTCACCAATCTTCTTCTTCTTGATCTCCTATGAACCTAGCCACGAAGATGAAATCCAATATCTCCAAAGCCTACACTTGTAGAAAATGTAGAAAGAAGGGGTTAGCACAAAAAGTACTAAGTATGGAAGCCATGCACAAAACCATTAAAACATGCATGAAAAGGGACATTTCATTTGAAATCATGCTATATGCCGTTTTTGAACATCATGTTTGAGATAGTTGGAGAATACAACCAATAAGGCAACTCACATACATTTCATTATAACATGAGAGATATCTTTATAATAACAAGCATAGTCTCCAACATCAATATAACACTAATCCCAATCTTCACAATACATAGCCTCCAATCACAAGGTAGTGCAAGTCAAATTACCAAGATCATCTCATCATTAAGTAATCATCACATGATCAACCCCTAAGAAACACTTATGCTATGTATGGTAACTAACATGTATTCACAATGTACAAC